ATAACCATAACAAAATCATTTTTTTATAAAAAAGAATGGAAATTAAACAAACTCTAAGGATAAGGTGATCATAATCGTTCGAGTAAGTTTTAGATCCTCAACTTATTTGAATTTATAAATTTTAATTTTAATATGACGAAAATTGTAAATTTAGACGGTAAATTTGTGCGCGAAGTTCAATTGAATTGGTGCAAATATTAAGGTGTTTGACGATTTTCCCTATAGTTGCGAGTCATGTGAAATAAGCGTGATTCTAACGCCTACAATGATGCTTTTAGTCACTTAGTACTTAGGTTCATCAATTTAAATTAGTTGAGGATCCAAAACCTCAGTTTTAAATGTTAGGATATGCAATCACACTAAGCCAGTGTTTGGTTAAGATAAAATCAGATATTAAGTAGATTTTGATCAAAATTAATGGAAATTTTGATTAAAAAGTTGTAGATCTCATGAAATGTGTGATTAAAATTTATTATTTATTTTGGCTTAAATTTTAATTCAATTTTTTTAGAAACAAACAGTGGCTACGTGTGGGAACGACTCTAATTTAAGCTCTACATTTTTCTTATAAATAGTCAACAAACCATATTTCAGTTACATTAAAAGGCTCATAATCTTTATTTATTATTTTATTTATGTCTCTAATATTTGTCATCTCATTCTTATCATCAATCTTTCACTAGTTAACTTATATTTTCAGATGACGATTTTCGTTCAAATATTATTAACAAAATTTTTGAACAAAATGGTCATTAACCACAAGATGTTCTAGACAATGAAAAGTTGAAGATTCAAATGTGATGGGTTCAATTAGGACCTTTAGTCAAATATACCATATGTAAGCAATTATATAACCTTAATACCAAGATCTTTAGAATTCATGATTTTCACATATAGATTAATTGATCAAGAAACATACATTGATCCATAGTAATAGTTGAAAGATTTAAACCTGTAAAATCGGAAGTAATAAAATCTAGAAATGGTTATCTCTGTCTTTTCCTCATTGTTATTGAATTATATAATTGATGAGTTTCATTCACATTTATAGGCAGAGAGAGGCAATTCAAGAGTCATGCAATCCAATAGTCATTAAAAAAACTATTCACTTTCCATCAAAGTGAATAGCTATAAAAACTGTCACTTCTAAATGGACCAATAGAATTTTAACAATAATAAATCACTTTAATTAATTTATTAATAATAT